TTGTGGCGCAGTGTTTAAGCTTTTGGCTGTTAACCAAAAGGTTGGCAGTCCAAAACCAATGGCTGCTCCGTGAGGGAAAGATGTGCTAATTGTTTCCATAAAGATCACAGCCCTGGAAACCCTATGGGGCCGTTCTACTCTGTCCTATAGGCTCACCACGAGCCAGACGACTCGATGGCAATGGGTTTGGTTTTGCGATTTGAAGTTACTGTAATTTGCCTACTTTGTAATCACTTGTTTTGCTCTCTTTTAATAACACTTCCTCTGCCACAGGGCTGTATTACCCAAAAAGCAGGGCACGCTTATTTACTTTGCTTTACCTTGTTTACTGTAAGCCGGTACTGTGCTTACTGGTTAATCCGCCTCTGCTCTGATAGAATGTGTTTAGCATGATCACAGCTGCTGAAATTGTTGCCTTTACGATAGAAGACTCGCCTGAGTTGCTGGATGGAACTTCAGCTGTGAGAAAGGAATACTTTCATAGAGAAATCTGGGCTCTTGGCACAATGATCATTTCTGACAAGAATAATTTATTATCTTCCTCTAAAACAAAGGTGAGGAAACAGAGCCTCAGTCAAACTATAGCTCTGGCTTGTGCTCATGGATTTGCAGAAGAGGCATTTCTCCTCCTTGCACGGGGCATTGGAGAATAACTGGACTTAGTAGATCTGAAATATTACTAGTGAACTTGCATCTGGGGAAGAAAACCAAAAACCAAACCCCGTTGCCATCAAGCTGATTCTGACTCATAGCGACCCTATAGGACAGAGTAGAACTGCCCCGTAGGGTTTCCAAGAAGCAGCTGGTGGGTTCAATGAGAAATATGTGGATAGAATAATCACACCAACTCTAACTGAAATGAATTATATTTGGGCAAGTTTATGATTGTGTAGCTTTCAAAGAGTATCCATATGACCTCCATTGGAAAAAAGCAATAACATCAGAACTCACAGTCCAGAAAGTAAGTGCCCTGACATTGAGTTGGTGGCTCTTTCTTTGCATTAACTATCCGGCCAAAGAGAGTGCTAGGTGCTCATACGTGGCTCACATTTGTATAGCACTTGGATGTGATATTTGTGAAAACAGTATTGAAAATGATAAGATACTACACAACTGTGTTCCTCCACAGTAATTACTGGAGATAGTCAGGGCTTGTAATAGAATACTGGATTTTCAGATGAGGAAACTTAATTAAATCTGATCTTTCTCTTAAGATACTTGTTATGTGCAAAATGGTGGCTATTTACTCCTAGTTTTTATCTTCATCATGAAGAAAGCTGTGAAGAGAAAGCTATCAATAGTAGCCGTTGAGTTCCTGCTCACTTCAGAAAATGGAACTACCATTGAAGAAGTGCTTATAAAATACCTGTCCTTTAATCCTTATGATAATACTACAATGAAATCAGAACTTTAGACTGACAGAGCTGAAGCATATCTATGAAGATTAGCTAACTAGTAATCGTCAGAGACGTGATTCAAGCCCAGGCTTGTCTGACTCCAAAGCTTTGCTCCTTCCACTATGGTATAGTACATCCTTCATGGAATCATGTTTAGCCACAGAAGGTTAGGTAATGCTAGCTGCTCTTTCATGTTTAGAACTCATTAGTCCTTATAAACCTAAAATGCATAAATACTTAATGATAAGTACTTTTAGTACTGTCCACTGGAGGGGAAAAAGCAATTTCCAATTGATTGAATGTATTTTCAGACATGGTTTACCAGTAGTTGCCGGCAACTCAGCTTGTTTTTATCTCTATCCAGCAGAGATTTTATTTTGCACTGGTAAGTAGACACAATCGATGAATTTTGAATTAGGGTGAAGATTCCTATTTCTTCCCAGGGTTTATAAGGAATTGGCCATCAGAGGGATCAGGTGAGATATTCCTTATGCCTCCCATTCAGGGAGAAGGCCATAATGGAAGGGGGTTAAGGCGAGTTGTGGACATCTCATGAACATGCTGATTCATCCCCACTCAACACAGGACAATGTGTGTTGTGGACTGATTTTAATTGCAATGATGGAGGCTTCCTATCTAGGCATACTTTTTTGTCTAGGATCTGCTCTGAGCAATGACACATATTTATAAGACAGATGGATAATGTTAGAGTTATCTGTAACCCCATAGTAGATGAAAATAAATGTTACGTATAATAGTATATTCCCGATCTTGTTGTGATTAATGGGTAGTCCCAAATAAAGCCACCTCTTCAACTGGGAACATTAACATCACACCACACTAATTATATTTAAATGAACATGTGAAACAACAATTTACCACCTGGTTCAATATTATGCAATGCTAATTTTTTGCTTGGCTCATCCAAATCTCCTTTTTCCTTAACACATGTAATCTCCATCCGTGCCCATTATATTGGAATAATGTTACTTGTCTATACTTCCACAATGCCTAGTTTACCATAAAACAGGAGGCATAAAATTGAGACCCTAAGCGTCCACTTTATTTATCTCTAGTGTAAATAAAATGTAACAAGTCAGGATACCTGGATTCTAATCCTAGCAATGTCATTTACTGGTCTGTGACCTTCAACAAACAGTGCTCCAGCTTCATAAATTATTACATCGTATTTTAAGCAAATAACGCATGTGTTATAAGTTTTTGCAAACAGTGCAACCCCCTTGCTCATTGTGTTCCTGGGCGTGCTATGTGCATTATTTGGGAAAAAATATGGTATTCGGGGGCTGGACTAAGGTTTCTTTAACCTCGAAATTCAGTGATTCTAAAGGTTCTGAATAAACATTGATTTTCCCCTATAATGTCTTGCCAGTACAGTAAATAAATATGCATCAAAATTTTTCATTTAAATCTGTATAGTTGATTATTATAACAATATAACATTTAGAAACTTTGAAAAACAAAGATGAAACATCGTCACCCATGATTGGACCATCTTTGTGGCTCCAGTCACTTTAATACACATACATAGTTTATTTGGTGGCAATTAGTGTACAGCTATGTTTGAGTTTCCAATTAAAATAGTTGCCATTGATGATGCTAACTGGCCCTGTGTTACAGGTTTTATGTATATTAATTCAGTTTATCCTCACAAGAATATATGAAGTCTGTTGTATTTTTCTAATTTATCAGAGGAAGAAATCAAAGCTTACAGAGGTTAAATAATTTAAGATCACATAGCTAGTAAGTGGGGGAGCTGAGACTCAAACTCATGTGAATCTAATTTCAAAGCTCTTGCTTTTAACTACTAGTTTATATACTGCCATGTCTGCTTTTTTTGACTAAGTTTTATATTGTTTCTATTTGCATAATTATTATTTTTCACATTCAGTAAGTAGGTGAACTATAATTTAATAATCCTTTGTTATTGGACTTTAGGTTGCTTCTGGTTCATGTTATTTATGAATAAAAGTGTGAGAAAGTTCTTGATAAAGGTTTTCTCTTCATTTGGATTGTTTCCATATGATAAAATCCCAGCCATGGAATTAGTACGTCAAAAGATATGACTGCCTAATGGCTTTTAATATACGTTGCCGAAGTATTTTAGAAAAGGCTGTACTAATTTACATGGCACCAGTTTATATTCAGCAGTGGATACATTAGAGCAGACATACGCCAAATACGTTGAAAAATAGACGTAACCTTACTAGATATGCTTATCAGATGTTTAATTTACAAAATAAGTTTCCAAATTTGTACTTTCAATTTCTGCTTTTGGTGAAGAGATTTTTATGTCATTGAGATACACAAAAATTTCACTTTTCACTTTTTTCTCATGGCGATGATCCCATCCATTAATACATCTCTTTTGATGGCAGACCAAAAGAATAGGTTTAGGCAGAGGAAAGAGAGCAAAAACAGTTGCAGAAGAACGGCATCTGAAAGTGGGTAACAGACAGTAGTCAGGTTTTTATCTTTTCGAGGGGGAGGGAGGAGGTGGAGTGAGAGGATGGAGGGAAAGAGAAGCTCAGCTAAAAAATAATTCAAAAGAATGGAACATAGTCATAATCAGCTTAGTCAAACTCAGGGTGAGAATAAAATTACAGATAATAGAATGTGGAAAAATCATTATTTTAATAGTTAACATTTATTGAACCATTTTTATTGCAATTTTATAGAGGAGAAACAGATTAAAAAACAACAACAACAAAAAAAAACAAACCCGTTGCTGTGGAGTCAATTCCGACGCATAGTGACCCTATAGGACACAGTAGAACTGTCCCATAGGTTTCCAAGGAGCGTCTGGTGGATTTGAACTGCCGACCTTTTGGTTAGCAGCGGAGCATTTAACCACTGAGCCACCAGGGCTGCAGAAACTGAGATACATAGTGGTAAAATAACTTGTTCAAATTTACAAAGCTTATAAATGGCTGAGTTTGAATTCCAGTTCTGATGATCTGAGCCACTATTTAAAAATGAAGGAATAACAAAGTACTTAGAGCGATAAATTTACAGTGAAAAATGAAGTTTTTTGTGTATCTTAATGACATAGAGATTAAAGAGGAATACTGGCGGGAAAAAGACAGCATTTTTAAAATTGCCAATGGGCTAATTATAGTTATGTTTTATTGAGGCCTTTGTATATGTTAGCTCATTTAATCCCGCTAATAATCCTGTGAGACAAGTACTATTAGTTCCCTTTTTCCAGACAAAAAGATTGATAGATGATAAACGACCTGAGTTACCTCAACAGCTGGCTCTGGAGCAAGATAAGGAAGACTGAAGGAGACTTGGCAATGAACATAGCAAGGCAAACAGGCTGAAAGTGAGAAATGCAGGAAGTTTCCCATCTAGGAAGTGGCTGATTCCAGCATTCAAATCTCCCCAGCCGACCCGCCAAGACGTCACAAAGCCGCCCCTCAGTCACGAAACCACGCCCCCTTCCGTAGCCGTTCTCTGAGCTCCCGATACTTCCCTCCTTCCCTTTCACCCCACCTACCCCGGCTAGCATCATTTCCTGTGCGCTGAGTGCTGATTGGTTCAGCGGTCGGAAGTGAGGGCGGGCGGTGGGGCCGTTGCCGCAGTGACAGTGCTGGGGGAGTCCGAAGATGGCGGCGTCGCGTCGCTCTCAGCATCATCACCACCATCATCAACAACAGCTCCAGCCCGCCCCAGGGGCTTCGGCGCCGCCGCCGCCGCCACCTCCCCCCCCACTCAGCCCCGGCCTGGCCCCGGGGACCACCCCAGCCTCCCCTACGGCCAGTGGCCTGGCCCCCTTCGCCTCTCCGCGGCACGGCCTAGCACTGCCGGAGGGGGATGGCAGTCGGGATCCGCCCGACAGGCCCCGATCTCCAGACCCAGTTGACAGTACTAGCTGTTGCAGTACCACCAGCACAATCTGTACCGTCGCCGCCGCTCCCGTGGTCCCAGTGGTTTCTGCTTCATCTGCTGTCGGGGTCGCTCCCAACCCATCCGGTGGTGGCGGTAACAACTCATCGTCGTCCTCTTCTTCCCCGACTTCTTCCTCATCTTCCTCTCCATCCTCTCCTGGATCGAGCTTGGCGGAGAGCCCCGAGGCTGCCGGGGTTAGCACCACAACAGCATTGGGGCCTGGGGCGGCGGGACCTGGGCCGGGGGTCGCAGCAGTGAGCGGGGCCCTGCGGGAACTGCTGGAGGCCTGTCGCAATGGGGACGTGTCCAGGGTAAAGCGACTGGTGGACGCAGCAAACGTGAATGCTAAGGACATGGCCGGCCGGAAGTCTTCTCCCTTGCACTTCGCTGCAGGTCAGAGACTTTTGAATTGTTTATTAAGGGTTTGGGGCTTGGAGGCAGGGGTCTGGGTAAGAAAAGAAAACTGAATAAGTTGACGCGACAAAATGGGAGCGTGGTGTGGTTCTTCAGCACTTCACCTGAAGACCAGAGACTCCTTTCTTTAGACAGTGCTTAGGTGACGGGGGCGTGGTAAGGGACTGTGTGAATCCATTCTTTGGTGTTTTCACAGTGCTACATATTCACATACTCTGTAGTGTAGTCTCTGGATATAGGTGTACTCGAACTTTTCAGTTTTGAATGTGTAGGAATAAAGTTAGATTTGGGCAGCCTTAGAGTAGTTTTCGTTTGTTTGCTTGATTATTTCGTTTTTACACCAAGGATATGCCCCCTGAGGACAGGTCTAGACCAAAAGAAGTTTAATGTAACTCAGCAAGTGTATAAGTATCTGTTGTGGTTTTAGTAAGCCAATGGAAGACATAAAGAAGTTTGTGAAACTCTTCCTTTTCTCAAGAAGTGTACAGTGTATTTGGGAAGACCAAAATATTCCTGTGTGAAGCAACTGGAGAAGAGTGTCTGGATGCATTATGTGATGAAGGAAGAAATATAGTTCTGAACATTGCTCTGTATTGGTTGTTTAAGAATTTACCTTTTCTCAGCTGCTTTAGTTTTAGTTTATGTCAAAAATAATATACTGGAATTGTGGGCGCAGTAGTTAAGAACTCGGCTGCGAAGCAAAAGGTCGGCAGTTCGAATCCACCTGCTGCTCCTTGGAAATCCTCTGGGGCAGTTCTCCGCTGTCCCATAGGGTCGCTGTGAGTCAGAATCGACGCAGGGGGTTTGGTTTTTTTGTTTGAGTTGCAGGAGGATAGTGAGAAGCAACTGGTACATAATAAGTTCTCCAAAAAAGTGCTAATTCCTAGGCCCTGGATTCCACACTTTATTCTTTTGACTTTGCCTTTTTTTTTTTAAAGCAGGCAGTTGAGTATTTTCTTTTAAAAACACCTAGTATCTTAAAAAAATATGGAGAAATAAAAAACGAAAGCAAAGGACCATAATCTCACTGTCCCAATACCTACTACTGGTATTTCAAAAAAGAAAAGTAATAATGTTATATACATGAGAAACTTTACTTTAGAAGTGTATACATTATATATAATACAAAAATTCAAATAGGACAGAAAGATACAAAATGAAAAGTTAAAGCACCACACACGCTCACATGTCAAACATGTCACACTAAGCCTGTCCTCTGTTAAGTTTCTTCCCATGTTTCTATTTATCACTCCTTCAGTTTGTTCTGTTAGTAATAAAATAAGTAGCCCTGGTGGTGCAGAGTTTAAAGCAATCAACTACTAACCAAAAGGTTGGCAGTTTGAAACCACCACCAGCTCTGTGGGAGAAAGATGTGGCAGTCTGCTTCTGTAGAGATTTACTGCCTTGGAAACCCTGTGGGGTTGCTATGAGGCAGAATCGACTTTATGGCAGTGGAGTTTTGGTAATGAAATGTATGTTAAGAACTTACTACATGTATTCTGACCTTCAGTCAGAAAATAACTGTTATCCTCATTTTACAGATGACAGAAGTGAGGTACTTATTTAAATAAGCTGAGGTTCACACAGTAAGTGGTGGAAGTGGATTTGAACTCAGGCAGTTTGATTTTAGAGCTTGGGAAATCAAACTTAAACTATCATAACTTACACCTGGGTTAAGGCCACTACATTTTTGTAATTGTGGTGCAGAGTTTCTGCTTTGGTAGTGTTTTGGGAGAAGTAGTAATCGATGGGCATATATTGCAAGAGTAACTTTAATACTTTTTGTACTGTAAACTATACTTTAGAAATATATTTTACACTGTGACATACACACGCACAACTGCGTCAAAAGTTTCAGGAAACAATACTTTCTTTTACTGCACATGGTGTTCACTGATACTGCATTTGTACAAATGCTGTTTGTGACTCACTAATATAGCAGCTTGAGAAACACTTTTACGGAAAATTGTTACTAGGTCACTGGATCCGTTCTTGATGTATGGACACTACTATTAGGAATATAGTAAATAGGCTTCCATCCAACTGGATATTTAGTCAAGGGTGTTGCCTATTTTACATGAAATACCCGTTGCAGTCGATTTGATTCCTACTCATAGTGACCCTATAGGACAGAGTAGAACTACCCAGAGGGTTTCCAAGGAGCGGCTGGTGGAATTGAACTGCTGACCCTTTGGTTAGCAGCAGAGCTCTTTAACCACTATGCCACCAGGACTCCTTACATGAAATAGCATTTCTTTTTCTTTAAGTTACATAAAAGATCTAAGTGTTTTATAAGTCAACCTAGGTTGTTTACTTTTGCATAATTTATTGTCAGTTTTACTATTTTAAAGCATTGTTTTACACATCTTACAATTTTTCATCATACCTCTTTCAAAGTAATCACTAACAAATGACAGCTGCTCATAATTATACCCTCTCCTCACTTATCCACATGGTTAGATTCCCAAGACCAGGTCAGTATGTGAAATCATCATTATGTGAAAATGAAGGATGATCACATCAGATCACAAAATGAATGACTACATCATTACATAACTGCCAGTTTGCAGCACTGCATAACTGCCAAACCACTGAGAATCATGGCCCAGCCAAGCTGCCACATAACCTTAACCATTACAGCCAGCATTGCTTTCGCCTCACATCTCAGCATTCGTTACTGCTAGATATACATTGTTAATGTGCAAAATGGTTGCATAGTAGATTTTTTACTGTTGTCGTAAATGTGAAATATCAGATAATGAGATAGTAAGTGAGGAGAAGATGTATTTGTTTAATGTTGTACTTATTTAGGATTAGTTGCACATGAAATTGTGCTTGTCTTCCAAATCATAGGCTCTTCTGTTTGCCACAGTAGTTAACTTTTTATTGTTTTTTTTTTTTTTATGTGTACCCAGATAAGCTACAATACAAACAGTGAAACAGTTCTGTGATTATGTTGTACTTATACGAATCTAACCTTGAACTGGCTTCTTAAGAAATATTTTTTTAGCTCAATTGTGAAAAACAGAAAAAACAATAACTAAACTTTACAGCCTGAAAACATAACACCCTCTAGTCAATTTACCATACTTTCATGTTTATATGCATAACATTAAAGCTTTGCTAAGTCTGGTCTTCTCCATCACGGATAGACTGAGTTGTTGTGGGAGTCATAGAGTAAATTTTGACTTCTAGTGGCCCCATGCGACAGAGTAGAACTACCCCATAGAGTTTTCTTGGTTGTAATCTTTACGAAAGCAGATTGCCAGGTCTTTCTTCCGTGAAGCCGCTGGGTGTGTTCAAACCGCCAACCTTTCAGTTAGCCAATGCTTAACCATTTGCGCTACTAAGGCTCCTATAGAGTGTGTAGCTAAAAGTAGTTCTCAGATGAATATTAGTTGGTTGTATGCTATTCATTGAATTGCCATGGAATAGCTATTTTAAAGATGGAAAATTGTTACAATTCTTTAGTTTGAAAAGTCGGCTTGTTTCACAACTATTCTATTGCTTATTATAGATCAGTGTTAAATACTGATACAATTTTGGAGTGGCAGATAATTCTTAACATTTAGGGAGTTTGCAGTTTAGTGGGGATGGCTAACCACTAAACAACCACCGCCACCACTGCCGCCTGCCAAGCATGTTACCTGGAGTGGTGGGAAGAGTACATTGTATTGTAGGAACATGTAATGGGGGCCCTTGTGCTGGTTTTAGAGGGGTGAAGGAAGTCTTTCAGGTAAAGAACTTGTTAAGTAGAAATTTAAAGGATGAGTCCAAGCTAGCAAAGCAAAGAGTTGAAGGAAGACTGTTAGTATCCCTGAATATTTCCATTTAGAAATGTTTATACTTCTGTAGAATGAAATGAAACAATACTCTTTTTGAAAGATTTCAGTATTGGTATGAAAAACCCTTATTTTTTGTATTACCATTAGTGTAACCATAATTCTTATTAGCAGTTGAATTAAGAGTCTTTTCTATTCTGTCTTGGACTGTGATAATTACTCTGTTTAAAACAGGGCTTAGAGAATGTATTAATAATGAAATCACCCTATCCACAATTGGAAACATAATCTTCAAAGGGAATGTCTCCATTGTGGATAAAGTTTCTCAAAGTACTACATTCAATGCCTTGCTAAGAAGGCCATATCAAAATGATCCAGTCTTTTATTGTTGAGTAGAGTTCATATAAGACTTTGCCTTATACAGATAAAGTCCTTGACCCTTGTTTTCTATTGTTTAAAGGATAACAGTCAAACAATTTTATAAATAGAACCAATTTAGAGTGATATCATCCCCTTAGTTCAGTTCCTAGTAGTTACATATTTTTGTTTGTTAAAGGACCACTATATTCTGATGAGGTCTCTTTTTAAAGAAAAGTTATGATGAGATCTTTTTTTAAAAAGGCATGGAGTTCTGAGATTTCATAGTATTTAAGTTGAAGAAATTTTGAAATAGACTTCCTGGTAGTTAATTAATTTATAACTTGGATTATGATATATAGCGTGGAGTATTTTAGCATCAAAACCAGCAAAATAAGAATGACAGTTTTATGTTTTCTTTTGATTTGTTGGTATCTACTACAGCACATGTTTAACCAAGTAAAGGTTGCTCAGCTCATCTCATTCCTGAGTGTTTTCCTGTTTTTTTTTTTAACCCCTGGTCAGGCATGACAGTAGTTGCCTTTTTTCACTCCCTCTCACCACACTGTGCAAATGTAGTTCTTAGGGGAAAAAATATAAAAAACGCTCTGTCCTCTAAACTGTTGCCTGTCAGTGTAACAGTTTAGAGGACACAGTGTTTTCCTCTGAAAAATGAGTCAGAACGCTTAGTTCTGGAGTGGGAATCTTTTTGCACTTTCATTGTCTGGCAAAGTCCTTGATTGTACTTTTAAGCAAAAGCACTGCCTCATGTCTGATTTGTTAATAGAAAGAAAAGGAACCAGTTTCATAAATATCCTCCCAACTTAAAACTGTTAATTA